GCCCTGCAGTACCTCCAAGACCGAAGAAACTCAGCAGACGGACGACTCCAGCAGCATCAAGTACGGCATTGACGGTACAAGACGCCACCGGAGATCATTCCGCATACCCAGTCCGAGGAGCCAATGAGCCAGCGGTTGATTATCGTGGGCGGCTACTGGCATTTACGGAAGCCGTAGCTGCCGTCGAGGCCCGTAAGGAGACAGCAGAGGCAGAACCTCAGCGGCTAGCCAATGAAGCGGCAGCCGAAGCTCAGCGAACGACTGAGACTGACGCAGAGACACGAGACAGACGGAATGCCAGCAGCACGGAGTCCTTGATTGCTGTGAGCATCAGTGGACGACGATACTCCAAGACATGATCTTTGTGCCTACGGAAGCGCAGGCAGACCCGACACCGGCGGAGGCAGAGAGAAGTAACCTGGCTAACTTGCTGCTGGGCATGATGAGAGGTATTATGTGGAATAATACACTGCTGCATTCACATTTGCGCACAGACGCGACGCAGCGACAAACATACAAGAACGATATGACTGCGTTAACAACTGCTATCCGCACAGAGGCAACGCAGCAGCAGCAACAGCATCATCTGTTGAATTCCACTATCACACGCGTCAACAGCATAGAGGCTAACGCCTCAGCAGCGCCAGGCTGCACGATAGACGTGACGAAGCAACTCAACGAGCGCATCGATCACGTCGTCACCATCATCGGCGACATAAGTACTTTCAACGGACAAGACTCGATCAGCAGCACGGTGGCCGCCGCCATCAAGACGGACATCACCAAGCTACAGACGAGACCGGAAGCCGCTACAAAGACGTTCAAGATGCCGCACTTCGACATCAGCAAGTTCGACGATTACAACAAGTCGGACGCCTTGTCATGGTGGCAACGCTTCCTCACGGAAGCATCATGCCGCATGGTCCCGRCGGACGACATGTTGAAGGCACTATATCTGCAGCTGATTGGAGGAGCGCAGGGATGGATGAACCACCTAGCGGCTACACGCAAGTGCACTATCGCCGAACTCCACACGCACATTACGTGGAAGGAGTTCGAGAAGCTATGGTTCACCCGGTTCATGGTCCGCAACGTCCTGAAGGCGGCCATGAATGAGGTGTACACATGCTCTCAAGGGAACATGCCAACTCGAGACTGGACAACGAAGTGGCAAAAGATAGTGACCACACCAGGCTTSGACTTGACGTTTCCAAATCAACGATCCGAGTTCTTCTCGCGATCGTGCGCGGGATTGCGGTCGGCACTCGGTAACGAGTACGACTATACCACATTCCAGGCCATTCTGGATCGAGCRAACTTGGTCATCCAAACGGACGACRAGGCCGCTAASGAGAGACAATCCCARCCGCACTATGTGGCTAAGCAGGCCTATCAACGTCCGACACATAACAATGTCGTGTTTTCTGAGGAAATCGACGACCACCACGCTGCAGCAGCATCCTCGAGTGATGGAGGAATTGTCGCAGCGCTCCCGCCGAAGCATCCGAAGAGAGTTCGCAAGAACAAGGCGACACAAGAGACGGCAGCGACGGGAGCTGGGCAGCAGCCATGGACGGCTTATAAGATCACCAAGGAGGTCTATGACCTACGTCAGAAGTACGCATACTGCCTATGGTGCAACAGTGTGTAGTACACACTACCGCACAATGCCCRGACAAGGGCAAGGCACGCGTACCCCGTCCAGCCAACTCGGGAAACTGAGTTACGCAAGGAGAGGGGCGACGTCTCTCCTCACTCCGCCGGACCCGGTTGCCTTGCTAGCAATCGATGTCACTACCGGGGAGCATGCGTTAGTCGCTGATTCTCGTGCTACGTACGAGGATTATGCCGCCCAGCTGGTACCACCATTAGACCAGCCTAGCCACGTGCATGTAGATTGCGTATGCGCAGCCTGTACACCGTCRGCAAGTGATCCGGTCAGTTCGCCACTGCTTTCCGAGGACTCGACGGCATGGTCAAGACTTCAGGAACTTGACCCGCTCACGAGAGAGGATTTCGCTTGGATACCTCTACCCTCGACCGGAACATTGCCAAGGCCGCATTGCAACGCCTTGATGGCAAATCTACGCTCCTACTTGCACACTACAGTACCAGCTCCGTTGACGGACGACGGGGTAGCGGTTGCCGATCTCCGCTCCTATCTTGCGAAGATCGACCGCGAGCACGCCACCCAAAGGTACGCCGAAACCGACGCACCTTTGCTCTATATCCGCATTCAAATCGGAAAGGCAACCTGTAGTGCCTTGATTGATTGCGGAGCGTCTCGCAACTTCATGAGTCAAGCCTTTATGGCCCGCGCAGGTCTTGGCCYDCGCGTTCGAAGAAAGACGCAACCTACGCAAGTTACACTCGCGGACGGCCGCACGCAAAAGTCAATTGATCGATGCGTTGACGGTGTTCCGGTCTACTTTGCGCCACTTGCGTGCAAGCCGGTGTCTTTTGACATCCTCGACGCCAAGTTCGACATGATTCTAGGCATGTCTTGGTTGCGTAGCGCCGATCATCCGGTGAACTTCCATGACCGAACCGTTCACATCCGTGATCGGAACGGAGTGTTAGTCCCATGTACGGTCGCGACCCCTCACACTTCGATTGCTTGTCACGTGGTTTCCGTTGCGCAGATTCGCGACGCCATTGCTCGGAATGACGTCGAGGACATGGGCCTTGTATTCTTCCATGCTCTTCCCTCGCCGGACGGACCAGCTGCGTCACCGCCGGACCCACGMATTTCTCACCTCTTGGACGAGTATAGAGACTTCTTCGAGGCTCCCACCGGAACGGTTCCGGATCGGCCCATACGTCACGGGATCACTCTCGAGGTTGGCGCCGTCCCTCCGCGTGGATGTATCTACCGCATGAGCGAAGAGGAACTCGAGGTGCTTCGCGCACAACTCGATGATCTTCTCAACAAGGGTTGGATTCGCCCTAGTTGCTCGCCATACGGAGCACCTGTTCTCTTCGTCCGGAAGAAGAACAAAGATCTACGGTTATGCATCGACTATCGGAAACTTAACGCACAAACCGTAAAGAACGCCGGCCCTCTCCTTCGGATTGATGATCTCCTTGAGCGGTTAGGCGGCGCGACATACTTCTCGAAGTTGGATTTGAAGTCAGGTTACCACCAGATTGAAATCCAGCCTCAAGACCGGTACAAGACCGCGTTCAAGACGAGGTATGGGCATTTTGAGTGGGTTGTCATGCCATTTGGCCTCACCAATGCCCCCGCAACGTTTCAAGCAGCGATGACGACTGAGTTTCGCGACTTGCTCGATCGCAGCGTCCTCATCTACCTTGATGATATCTTGG